GTACAGCGGGTTAAACTGCCAAACTGCTGAACTTGCTGACTGAAAGGTTGGTGGTTCGAATCCGGAGAGTGGGGTGAACTCCTGCTGTTAGCTCCAGCTTCTGCCAACCTAGCAGTTTGAAAACATGCAAATATGAGTAGATCAATAGGTACCTCGGGGAAGGGAACGGCGCTCCATGCAGTCATGCTGGCCACATGACCTTGGAGATATCTACGGATAATGCTGGCTCTTCAGCTTAGAAATGGAGATGAGCACCAGCCCCCAGAGTCAGACACAACTAGACCCGTCAGGGGAAATCTTTACCTTTACTTAAAAGGGAAGGAAACCTTTGCTTGTCTTTAGTCCTCTGCACCTTGCCAATTCTCTAAGATTTCTCAATAAAAGATGGCAAGTGATTCTGCAAGTATGTCAGCAAGCTGCTTCAATACTTTGGGTTGTAGTTCATCTGACCTTGTCAATGTGAACTAATTTAGGTTAACTAAGTGATTTCTGACTAACTCCTTGTCAATCTTCATTTGCAACCTGGATTCTTTGCCAAGGTCTCTAAGGGAACATTGAGTGGTAGAACAGCAGAACAAGATCACATTTGAACACACGTCTGTTTGAATATGAACTAGGGTAGCCTAAACTCCAACCTCTGCACACTGGAAAGTCCTGGGACAGTTAAGACTTTCAATTCTCCTTTTGTCAGGCTGCTTGCCAGACTAATCAAGGTAAAGATAATAAAGCAATTTGTGCATTCTGAATGCTGTGCAAATGATTAATGTAACTAGATCTGGAAGTTGTGGGTGCTACCATAATTAGTCTAATAGAGAACTGAAAAATTGACTGCCTCCTCCACATGTAGGAAACAGAAATACAGAGATTATTTTGCTACACTCCCCACAAGCAGCAGGCATCTGTGAATTCAGAGAGAATGATAGGTCTTTTCACAGGTTCTGGGGTGAAACAGAATGTTTTCCCAGGCCAATAGCTACAGAAACAATAAGAGTTTGACCAGATAGTCTTTGATCTGATCAAGCATGGCTCCTCCTCTGATGTTTAATGAGGTTTAACTTTTGGGTCACTGATTTTTGAGTCTGTCAAGTACAGAACCATGCCAAACTGCTTTGATTTAGCCTTCCCCAACTTGTAGCCTTCCAGGCGTTCTGGACATGGGCAAATAGGGTTGAAGTCCAAAACATCTGGAAGGCAGCAAGTTGGAGAACAATACTTTCACCTCATAACATAGCAAATGTAGAAGCTAAGCCATGACTATATGTGATGGACAAGAGATATCTTCAACGATTATGCAGAAAACGGAGAGGAGGCAAAATAAGCACATAGATAAAGACTACAGGGAGAGTTCAGTGGTGCAGTGGATTAAACCGCTGAACTGTTGAACTTTGAGCAGAGTGAGCTCCCTCTGTCAGCTCCAGCTTCTGCCAGCCTAGCAGTTTGGAAACATGCAAATGTGGGTAGATCAATAGGTATTGCTCCGATGGGAAGGTAATGGCTCTCCATGCAGTCATGCAGGCCACATGACCTTGGAGGCATCTATGGACAATGCTGGCTCTTTGGCTTAGAAATGGATATGAGCACCACCCTCCAGAGTTGGACACAACTAGACTTTATTTCAAGGGGGAAACCTTTACCTTAAAGACTACAGAATCTTCGCACTATCAACCTTGCTGCACTATATGTCAAAAAACTCTTTCAGACCCTCTTTACCCCAAAGTTTCACAAGATCATCTGCCATCATGTTTGGTTTGACTTTTAGGCAAACCACTATGCAGTCGCTGCAGTGCAGTTGAAGCAGCTTCCCCTGGTTCCCCCAGGTTTGCTGAAATACAGTTCTCATCATCCTAGCCAACATGGTCACCCAATTTATCTAGGAGAAACAGGTTGGGAACAACATGATCAGCAGTCTCAGATTAAGCCCAAGGAAATTCCTGATTCAAATCTCCATTCAACCATGAATTTCCAATGGAAGCAGTGCCAGCTGCTTTCCTTCAGGGCTCCTAAAAGATAAAAATGTTTGCATTGACACAGAGAAATAACTTTGTGTCTTGCTGTGAACTCCTCAAGGGGGAGAAGAGGATAAATATGACACGTGTCTAAGCTTTGGTCCCCACTCCATATGGGGCAATAATATTGCAGTATCTTAAAAATATGAGGATTAATGAGATAATTTGGTTGAGTGGATCAGAAGTAGTGTATGTGTCTGAAGATGAGGATGACTACATACAGTATTTGGACATAGAAATATGATAGAAAGAAGGGAATTCATGTATGTGTGTTAGACTTTGGGCACATTTTCCCTCTAATTGTAACTCGGTAACTCGGGGCCCTTCCACACAGCCCTTTATCCCAGGATCTGATCCCAGATGATCTGCTTTAAACTAGAATGCATGAGTCCACACTGCCAGATAACCTGAGATAAACAGATAATCTGGGATCAGATCCTGAGATAAAAGGGCAGTGTGGAAGGACCCTCAGTGAAAAGGAGTAGAGTTGCTGCTAAAAGAGTAGAGTTGCTGCTATTTTAATTTCAAGAGAGAACTTTTATAAATGTCATGTTGTTACCTCTGGCTTCAGGAGCCACAGTGGCGCAATGGATTAAACTCTTGTGCTGGCTGAACTGCCGACCTGAAGGTCAGCGCTATGAATCCATGAGATGGGGTGAGCTCCCGTTGGCCAGTTCCAGCTTCCCATGCAGGGACATGACAGAAGCCTCCTACAAGAAACACATCCGGGCATCCCCTGGGCAATGTCTCTGCAGAAGGTCAATTCCCTCATACCAGAAGCAACTTGCAGTTTCTCAAGTCACTTCTGACATGATTTTTTTTTAAAAAAAACAACTTCTGGCTTAAAAAAACCTTTCTTAATGTTGAGCTTTGACAATTTCTTTGGAAATTCAATATTTTTGAATCAAAATGATTCCTAGTAAAACAGGCAAAAGAAACACAAAGCCATGATCCTTGGTACCTAGTGTGTGTGAAATCTTTTGATCACAGTCCCTTCATCCCTTCGCATTCAATGACCCAAATTCTAGATCAAAAAAGCCTTACATCATAATAAATCAGGCGACCTTTAACTTGTCACAACACACTTCTTTTGACTACACCTGACAGACATGGCCACTACGTGGAGTAAAAAACGTGCCTTCCTGATGTAATTGTACTGTAGTTCTCACTAGTTCTGGACCACATAGTTAATAATGATGGTTCATGGGATAGAATCATGGAGTTGGAAGAGATCTCATGTTCAACTCCCTGCCAAGAAGCAGGAAAATCACATTCAAAGCACTCCTGACAGATGGCCATCCAGCCTCTGTTTAAAAGCTTCCAAAGAAGGAGCTTCCACCACATTGATGGATTCGCCTTTCTCCACTTTACTTTGGACCTTGACAGAGTATTCTTTCTACTGGTCACTCTTCAGCTTTTTAATACAAGCCTCCTCATCATCAGCAGGTACTACTCAAATCACACTTGCGACTGGAAAGGTCTGTAATGACTTCAAGACCTCTGACAGAATCAAACAAACTAGAAGCAATTAGAGAATCACTCAACCCAGCTTTGCTTTACACATTTGTGTCTTGCCTGTCTGCTACCCCAGGCTCTCATAATTCAGGCTCAAGTATGGCATAGGCAGAGAGCCAGAACAATGAGGATGCGTCACAGTAGGATGTCTGTAGATTAGATCTCACTAGATTACTTGCCCAGCTACATCCTATAATGCAGACATGAGAAAACTTCAGCCCTCCAGGTATTCTGGACTTCAACTCCCATAATTCCTAACAGTAGGTTGTAGGAATTATGGGGGCTGACGCCCAAAACACCTGAAGGGCTGAAGTTTGCCCATGCCTGCTATAACAGAATACAAGAAAGACAAGATACATTCACAACAAAGGTTAGATTCTATAACCCATATTTGAAACATATGGTTGGATTCTTCAAACAATGCATCTTTCTCTCCCTGCGGTGCAAGTTTACTAGGAATTAAGTGCTACCTTTCATGTAAGAGTAGGATGGACTATAGCCTCACCATACCTTCCTAATACAGTGGTTCTCAACCTGTGGGTCCCCAGATGTTTTGGTCTTCAACTCTCAGAAACTAGCTGGAATTTTTGGGTGTTGTAGGCCAAAACACCTGGGGACCCACAGGTTGAGAACTACTATCCTAAAAGGTCATTTGTGGAGGTGTATCAACTCCACCCCAACATTCTCTCTTAAGCTATGCGTACGTCTGAGGCCACAAAGAAAATATTAAAGAGCAGCAAAACAAAGCAAAGAGCAAATAAAATAAAATTCTGCTATGCCATCAAAGTAGAAAAATCACATGACATCCTTCACAAATGTACTGAGGTGTTTCGACCTCCATGTTATCCTTTGTTTCAATAACATGAACATGCAATTTCACAGACTTACGGTATGTCTCCAATCATCAAACTTAGAAAATTAATAATTACTTGTAGTTTATTAATTGGTACTCATGCCCAGAGCATTCTAAATAGCAAAAGAGATGGCTCCTACAACAGTTCTGCTTGAATTATAAATCAACACACATTTCTTTGCTCCAAGAGACAGGTTGGTGATATCACTTGCACAAATGGAGCCATGGTGGAGCAATGGGTTAAACCCTTGTGCTGGCTGAACTGCTGACCTGAAGGTTGGCGGTTCAAATCCGTGAGACGGAGTGAGCTCCCGTCTGTCAGCCCCAGCTTGCCAGGCAGGGACACAAAAAAGTCTCCCACAGCATCCCCTGGGGAAACATCCTTGCAGACTGCCAATTCTCTCACACCAGAGGTGACTTACAGTATATTCTCAATTTCAAAGACTAGAAGCCATGCCATTCAGTCTAGCCACAACACATTGGTTTTCATTGATAACCCTGATCAATACAACAAAGGAAAAGGACCTTCATACATTCAAGCTTCTTTTCATGGCTTCACGCGACCATGGGGCTTATCTCTCACACAAGATCGCAGACGGATTAATAGCTGGGAATTGTTCACTTACCTAGGGGCATCGAAACTGTCATAGGAGCCCACTGTATAGTGCCTGAAGAGTCGCTTAGCTTTGTCGCTACGGCTCTCTGCAAAGCAAAAAGGAAATGGGGTGTGGATTAGGGACAGGAGGATTTGGTACATACAAGCATATCTGTTTTAACTGCTGTGGTAATGAGTCCAGTTCTTATGACTGCAGCAACTGAATGTTAGTAGTTGAAGTGATATTCTTATTACCACTTCCTCCAACAACCACTGAGTGGCAGCAGAAGGCTTGGTGTTTGAGAGGCATGCCTGTTCCAGAAAAGGAAGAGGCAGACAGAAGACAGAAGAAAAAGAAAGCCAACTGTTTTATGTTCAAACTATTCTACACAAACTATCCTCACTACCTCTGAGGATGCTTGCCATAGATGCAGGCGAAACGTCAAGAGAGAATGCCTCTAGAACATGGCCATATAGCCCGAAAAACCTACAACAGGCCAATGATTCCGGCCGTGAAAGCCTTCAACAATATATCCTACATTATCTTATAGTAAAGCATTGCTTTGATCCTATTTTGTCCCCGTTTTTATTTTTTGCCTCCCTTATATTTCTATTACTGCATACATATATGCTAAAACAATCATGGGCAAACTTGGGCCCTCCAGGTGTTTTAGACTTCAACTCGCACAATTCCTTACAGCCTAAGGCCCCTTCCTTTTCCCCCTCAGCCACTTAAGCTGTGAATCACTGGGTTGCTGTGAGTTTTCCAGGATGTATGGCCATGTTCCAGAAGCATTCTCTCCTGACATTTCACCCACATCTATGGCAGGCATGCTCAGAGGTTATGAGGTCTGTTGGAAGCTAGGCAAGTGGGGTTTATATATCTGTGGAATGTCCAGGGTGGGAGAAAGAACTCTTGTCTGTTCAAGGCAAGTGTGAATGTTGCAATTGGCCACCTTGATTAACATTGAATAGCCTTGCAGCTTCAATGTCTGGCTGCTTCCTGCCTGAGGGAACCCTTTGTTAGGAGGTGTTAGCCAGCATGCCTTAGATGTGGGTGGAGTGTCAGGAGAAAATACTTCTGGAACAAGGCCATACAGCCTGGAAAACCTAAAGTAAGCCAACTTGACGTTACTCCACATGAGATTGAAAAAATAGCATGCTGCTTCTCCTGTTTGTTTTTATTACATTCAGGGTTTTTTGACATGAAAAAGCTTCAGGATTTATAAGAGAATGAGATAAACTTGAAAAATTCATCTCAAAATGATTCTAAAAATTATCTCTAAAAGTAAATCTTGCAAACCACACCGTATTACTTTGAACTGTGACATTGCTACAGCTTTGTTACAAAAAAGGGGGAAATGTATGCAATTGGATTACTTATCATTCTATTCTCAAACTGTTATTGGGTAACCCTGAAGGAATTATAGCTCAAAAAAGTACCCTTCCCGGATTCTGTTGCTATGAAATTATGATATAAATACAGCACACCGGATGAGAAAGAGGAGATGCAATCAGCCCTACTTTGCCAATTCAGGCTTGTAGATTTTATGGGCTGATTTAAATAATGGTGATGGTGATGGTGAAAATGCAAGGATGTTGATGAAAGCAGCAGCAATAATAATAATAACAATAATAACAATAACAACAACAACTATAATAATTGTTAGCAAAACGCAAGGAGAAAATGCTTATGGAACATGGCCATATAGCCCGGAAAACTCACAGCAACCCAGTGATTCTGGTGATGAAAGCCTTCGACAACAAATTGAGACATAATGCGTCCTTATCCTGTTCAAGTTTGACTCTTTATGCTTCCATCAAGATAAGGTAACAACAACTTGCAATAGTTCCAGGATAGAAGGAACCTGGGATGTTCTGGTGATCTTCATGTAACCAACCAGTGGAATAAACAGGAATGGGGAGATCCTTGCACCATGCTCCCATCTTTTAGCAGACATGAGGAAAATACCCTTCCAGATGTTGATGTACTACAACTCTTATTGCCTCAACTTTTGACATGTTAGCTGAGATGATGGACAGCCAAAAGCATTCAGAGGCTTATCATGCATTTTCCCATCCAACCCTTATCTTAAAGATGGTAATCAAGACAAGATAATGATGGGAGCTGACCATGGATACAGTTCCGCAAAGAAGCCAGAAGCTCTGTTTCAGAAAGAACTCCTATCTTTCAACTGCATTTGGGACACACTAAAAACTGTAACTGGTGTGCTAACATTCTCTTTCTCACAAAGTCATTCACAAGTTCTCTACATTAGCTCATGGTTAAGCAAGGCCTTGGGAACACCTGGTCTTGATTCCTAACCTAAACCATGACACAACTCAACGAGCCTCATAGAACTGCAGTTTTCATAATAATAATAATAATAATAATAATAATAATAATAATAATAATGGCGAAAGAAGGCTCTCCACGGACAGTTCCTGGGAAAAATTGAGAGCCAAATCGACAAAGAAAAAATATGGATGTGGCTCACAAATAGAACTTTGAAAAAGGAGACGGAGGGCCTGATTCTGGCAGCCCAAGAACAAGCCATTCGAACAAATGCCATCAAAGCCAGAATTGGCAACAGATCCCTAATGTAGACTCTTCAAGGAAGCAGTTGAAACAGTAGATCACATCCTCAGCTGCTGCAAGAGGATCATGCAGACAGACAACAAGCAGAGGCATAACACTGTTGCTCAGATGAGTCATTGGAACTTGTGCTACAAATACCATCTGTCTATGACAAAGAACTGGTGGGATCACAAGCCTGAAAAGGTTACAGAAAATGAACACATCAAACTACTCTGGGACTTCCGAATTCAGACAGACAGAGTTTTGGAGAACAATACTCCTGACCTCATGATCATGTTAAAAAACAAAGTATGGATCGTCGATGTGTACTCATCTTGTTGTGTTTCTAATAATAATAATAATAATAATAATAATAATAATAATAATAATAATAATGGATTGCTGTGAGTTTGCAGGCCATAGATGTGGGCAAAATGTCAGGAGAGAATGCTTCTGGAACATGGTCACACAGCTCAAAAAATTTAATGCCTCGGTGATTCTGGCCATGAAAGTCTTTGACAATACACAATAATAATAATAATAATAATAATAATGACAATGATGATTCAGTCCTTTCTGTCACTCTGCAACACTTTCCGTAGGAGAGCTGTTTTCTATCTGCCCTGAGCATTGGCACTGTTAAGTGCACAGGCTGCCGTTTCACACTTTGCAGCTGGTGAGACTCCTTTTGAATTGTCAAGTGTAAAAACATACTGTAGGCCAAATTCAGTATAGCACCCTTTTTGCTTTTCAATCACAACCCCTGATCTAGGATGGGGCTTTCAGATTGAGGATGCTTAGTGTTACAGATCAAAAGTCCCTGAGGAGTCATTCTGTTTCTCTTTTCTAGATGTATGCTTTAAAAAAAAGTCGCAAAAGAAGGTAAGAAAAAGTTTAGGAGGGTTACAGGTGGAAAATATCATGCTCTGGACTCCCTAGAAGGGTTTTGTGTTTCCGGCAAGATGACTGAGGGATAAAAGCTTCATCTGAAATCCCCCAAGGTCAAGAAGCTCTTGGCTGCTGCTTAAACACAAAAGGGTAATGTGTAGACTGCCTCCCTTCAAGGCCTTCTTGTTTATGAGTGCATTTTGAACTGTAATTATTCTATATTGCTCATGAAGACAGCCAATATAACATTAGAACAGTCTATTCAATGCTTTACATTTAACAAAAAGGGAAACAGTTAGGCCAATTTGCTAAGCCGCTTACAAATATAACCTGCTTTAGAAATCAGCACCCGGGGGGCTTTATATCAAGGACTCCTAGTGCTACCAATCTAAAAGCACTGCACAGCTATTCCTGCCTTTCCCTCCTGAATGTATGTGTGCTCAGGCAAGCATGGATTTTTTTAAAGGACTGACGAAGCAGTGGGAAAATATCGAAAGGAAGGATCTCCTCTTGTAAAATTTGATTACTATTTTGTAAAATTCTGTGAACAGTCCAATTAAAACCCCATCTTGAAGCATCTCACGGTAAGTTAGTGCAGAGGTCATAAATATGGAGAAAAGCTCCACTGATATAAATTTTTGGTGGATTTATGTGATTCAAATCAGTATAGAAGTATTGATGTTTATTTGTTCAGTTGCTTCCGACTCTTCATGACCTTATGGACTAGCCAACACCAGGAGCTTCCTTTCGGCCGTCTCCACCTCTCCTTCAAGGTCAAGCCAGTCACTTCAAGGATACCATCCACCCATCTTGCCCTTGGTTGGCCCCTCTTCCTTTTTCCTTCCATTTTCCCCAGCATCATTGTCTTCTCCAAGCTTTCCTGTCTTCTCATGATGTGGCCAAAGCACTTCATCTTTGCCTCTAATACCCTTCCTGTCAGTGAGCAGTTGCGCATTATTTCCTGAAGTATAGACTGGTTGGATCTTCTTGCGGTCCAAGGCACTCTCAGAATTTTCCTCCAACACCACAGTTCAAAAGTGTCTATCTTCCTTCGCTCAGCCTTCCTTATGGTCCAGCTCTTTCATCCATAGGTTACTATGGGAAATACAATTGCTTTAACTGAAATAGTTAATAGAAGTATTACAAATGCACTCGTTGTTCCTGGTTTTTCTTGTGAAATGTAGAAGGATGCATGTGACTGAAAGGGAAATTCAATACAGCAGCGAGAAAGACTACATCCTTTAAGTGGAACGCATCCAGCAATTGAAAGAAATACTCCTAGTTTAAAACAGTGCAACTCTTTTTAGTGACATTTGTTTGTGTAAAAATACATTTCATGACAAACATGATGATATTATGACAGAATGCAGTCAATGATAAAATCCTAGAATCATATAGTTGGAAAAGACAAAAAGAACTATTCCAAACACTATGATAATCTTCAGCAGAAGGAAAATAGGAGCTACATGTATACAGAAGTGGCAATTCCCAGTAGGAGAGTACCCCAGCAAGCCTTGGATGTCATGCTACAAAAAAAGGAGAAGGAGAAGCTCTCAGATTTTGAAAAGAAAATCTCTAATGAGATCAGGGAATTAAACGAAGCATAGCTTCATACTATATTCTGGTTGTTTCTCCATTCATTTTTGGTACATATGTTTTTCATATACACTCACATGGAAATGAAACATCCAAATGAGGTCTGTGTTTTAGCCACTGGAAAAATATGTAGCTGCACACACTGATTATTAATTAATGTTCAAGCGGAAAAGTGGTGTCAGAGGGAAGAATGGTAAAACTGAATGACAGAAGAAATAAGACAGACTTGTGAGGAAATCAGCACTAGAAAATCAGAAAAGAAATGAGATCTGCAACAGACAGTAGAAATGGTGTGTTATGGTTCAAGGATAACATTACGCCAAAGGTTCCACAAAGGCCCCTTCCACACAACTGAATAAAATCCCACATTTCTGCTTTGAACTGGGATATATGGCACTGTGGACTCAGATAACCCAGTTCAAAGCAGACATTGTGGCATTTTTCTGCCTTGATATTCTGGGTTATATGGCTGTGTAGAAGGGCCCTAAGAATGTTTTCAGCATATTCATGTTGGCGTAAACGTAGATTGGGGAAGGGAATGAAAAAGTAGTAGAAAAACATTACAATATTTATAGGATGGAGTCATCCTTAAAGTCTGTGAAGAAGAAGAAGAAGAAGAAGAAGAAGAAGAAGAAGAAGAAGAAGAAGAAGAAGAAGAAGAAGAAGAGGGCATGTTTAAATTTCATGTCTGATAGGAAAGCCTCCCTGCTTCACTCATTATCTTTCTTATTAATTTGGGGGGCGGGGAGGGTTGGGGAAGCAGTGGCAAGAAACAATAGCATTCAAGAGCATTTATCTGACACACTATCTCTGTTCAAGGATGAATTTCATGATGACTTCTTCTCACAGGTAGGGAGCACCTCATCTACTTGAGTGGGGTTGGCCATTTTGTCCCCAACAGTGTCCCAAACAGACACTATGTAATATTGTGTAGTAACTGCCAACCTAACAGTTCGAAAACATGCAAATGTGAGTAGATCAATAGGTACCGCTCCAGCGGGAAGGTAACAGCGCTCCATGAAGTCATGCTGGCCACATGACCTTGGATGTGTCTATGGACAACACAGATGAGCACCAACCCCGAGTTGGACACGACTGGACTTACTGTCAGGGGAAAACCTTGACCTTTAAACACCTATGAAGAGCCACAGGATGAGCAAGAAAAATACTCAGTTTTCTGACATAACAGAGCATTTCCTTTTTAAAAAACTTTTTAAAAGCATATGGAGGATGTCTTTGCTGTTGAATGTTGAATGTTATTCATCCATCACTGATGTAGTAAAAGGAATTTATCCATCCCAACCTTTCATGGTCACATGAAGAAAATGAAACTGTGAAGATGGGAAGCTACTTTCAGCTCAGCACTATTTCAGGGTTGCAAGCAGCCATGCCCTCTTCCGGGATTAGTTGTTATTTGTTGTTATGTTCCTTCAAATTGACTCTAACTTATAGAGACACTCTCATAGGGTTTTCTAGGCAAGATTTTTTTCAGAGGAGATTTGTAGCTGCCTTCCTATAAGGCTAAGTGTCTGAGTGAGCTTTCATGGCTGAACAGGGATTTGAACAATGTCTAAGTTCAACATTCAAACCGCTACACCACATTTGCTCTTTCTTCCAGAATTCTCTAGCATGTTGCCAGTTCTCACTATTTTCCATTCTTCCGGCCCAGATAATTTTATTTATTTATTTATTTATTTATTTATTACTGCGCTTGTATACCGCTGTTTCTCAGCCTACATTGGCGACTCAACGCGGTTTACAACACTACAATAATCAACAATATTCAGTTTAAAAAGCATAATCAGCATTCAATGATCTCTGAGCATGCTCTGTCCTCACTGGTCTCCTTTGATTCTTCTACACACTATCTGAGACAAGTATTTCTGCAAATAGGTGTTAGCAAACAACTCTTCTAATGCCTCTTACAGCCTCGTCACATTAGAGAGAAAAATCCACTTAAAATCCGGTTTCTGCCTTCTGCAGAATTCTGGGGTTTGTAGTTTAGGGAGGAGCTTTTAACAGCCTCACTAAACTACAACCCCCAAAATTCTGCAGGAGGCAGAAACAGGATTTTAAGTGGATTTTTCTCTCTAGTGTGATGAAGTGATTAGTGAGCAGATGGTTTTATTTTGGCTACATAGCTTACTACCCAGAGTGTGGCTAATATGCTTGCTATTCATGTATCTGTGTGTATACTGGAAACACTTACCTTGCTTCCCTTCCTGTGACTTGTTGGGCACTTCCTCGACACATTCTGAGGGGAACCAGCCCACACGACCTTTGACCTGTCCTTCCCAAAAGCCGCCTTCTCCAACACTCAGCACTGAAAAGAAGAAAGTATTGTTACAGGTGTAAACATCTATGGACAAAAGTGGGAGAACCGTTCACCTTACCCAGAGTCAGCAAGGTGTGAGAAAACCAAGACTGAATCTCCACCACAACCGAGGGATATCCACCATCCTATGGCCTCACTTCTAGATAAAGAGCTGAGATGAATGTGCAACTGTTTTTTTTCTGGAGGTTTTGAAGGCAAGCACTAGTAAATTGTCTCCTGAGCACATCTTAAATATTCCTTGTGTTTGGGAATTCTGCCAACATGACCATGCCAGCTAATGAACAAACACACTTTAGCTGTTGGGCCACACAGTGTGGACTTTAATTCTCATTGTTTGCTTCTCTCTTTCCATTTTCTTAAAAGCAGATAAAAATGTTCTGAAGTAGACTTCTCTAAAAGCAATGCTCTCCAAGAAGTACTAGACTACAAATTCCATCATCCCCAGGCAGTACAACCATAGAGAATGGGAGGTATAATGTAATATTTCTGGAGCACCAGGTTGAAGAAATCTGATCAAGTTCTTTCAGATAATACAGCAATGTTATCTCTTTCCCTCTTCCTATTTTCTGGCTTAATGCACTGAGTTGGAGAACCACATAAATAGCTGTGGGTTTGGGAGGCAATAATTTTAATGGTATGTGCAGGAGCAATACTTATATTGCCTTTGAGATGCTGTGCGTGTATCTATACTGTAGAATTAATGTGGTTTGACACAGTTTGACTTTAACTGTCATACCTGAATGCTACAAAAGCCTGGGAGTTGTAGTTTGCTGAGGCACCAGCACTCTTGGCCGAGAAGACCTTGTAAAACTACATCCTCCCAGAATTCAACAGCACTGAGCTATGGTGATTAATATGGCATCAAACTGCATTAATTCTACAGTGTAGATTCAACCTGGGAAGGAAATGTAAACACCTATCCTAGAAAAGCGATTAACTGGGATCCATCTGAGAAGCCCTTTTTATCATGGTTGCTGGAATTGGGTTCAGAATAAAATGAAAGGAAACCATGAACTCTGAGGTCAACAGACGTTCTCCTTGGTCACCTGCCAAAAAACCATCACTGCTGGCTCTTGGGTCTCTCTTGTAATGAACCAACATGTCCTGAAGTACTTTCTGGGTTTTACAAGGTAAGTATCACTACTACCACTGCTATGGTCTTTCTCTCCACTGCTTTTAGATTTTGGTTCAAACTTTAAAAGTAGTCTCTGTTTTAATGAATAGGGTTCAGGGCCTTAGGTAACGCCTTTTAGGGTTGTGCTAAACTCAGGAAAAGATTCAATGTTCCACCAACATGAGAGTCACCAGCCAGCATTCTTTGTCTCCCACAAGTTCAACAAAAATAAATTGGTGTTGGGCATGGAGAACAGTATGCTGAAGATCCGCCAAGCCACATCTGCTCAAACAACTGTTCAAGGATAGTGGGCCTCTGACCTTTTATTTCCACCTGGCTACACTCTACTAAAAAACAACCCCATCTCGTCCTATTATTACATGCTTGTTCAGACTATCAATGAAATAAAAGACTTTACCATACAAAAACTAGGTTTGTTGTCTCTCTCAATCTCTCCCCACACTTGGTAATTTATGTCCTTCATATTTTCTTGAGATCTCCTAACATTCAGAGACTGCTAATAAATGTCAAATTTTGGGGAAGAATTTTTGAAAATCACATCAACCAACCTCTGGCCACTAATTTGGTACCTTCAAGTATTCAATACACTGACCTTCAAAGCAACTTTGCTTAAATGTCTCAAAACAGGCCAAAGAAACATCCTTCTATTGAGCTCGGTATGATCTAAAACACTGTTTTCCCAGCCGTTGGTCCTCCAGATATTTTGGACCAGCTCCTAGAAATCCTGACCATTAGCCATAGAGATGGGGGCTTGAAGGCCATGAAGAAAGTTCTTTCAGCATCTGAACACATTTGGTGAAACCTGAACAGAAGGCTGCTTTTAGGTTCTAGTACTCTTTGCCAAAAGACACTCAACTAGGTCCATCTCTAATGTTCTTCTGCTGGCAGGCAAACACATTGGCTAACATTTTGTCAGTCAGTTAACAACTTAATTGCTTTATATTCTCATTTGTGACACTACGGCCTTGACTACAAGTGACCCTGAAATCAACCTCAAAAGCCTGTCAGCTATCCAGAGCTATTCTGCTAGTGAGAAGGGCATTGCAAGATGTGACTAGCTGTCTTCTGGGTTAATTACAAGAAACAGAAGCAAAGACCCTACTGGAACCTATTGCAATTTTTGATTGCATTGCAGCATCCTTTACTAGAAGAAAGGACTGGTCACATCCTCTTGCAGTGCCCTGCTTGTCACCAGAGCAGACTTTCATCACTCTTGATAGATGACTAGCTTTTAATTATTGTTTGTATTGTTGTGTTCAGGCTCGGCCTCATGTAAGCCGCACCGAGTCCCTTGGGGAGATGGTAGCGGGGTACAAATAAAGTTATTATTTATTATTATTATTATTATTATTATTATTATTATTATTATTATTTCTATTGGACCTGGTAGTAGGAAAGGATGGGTATTATAGTCCAGTACATTAAATTAGGCCTAAGATCGTCTGGAGGGGCCCTGCTCTCAATCCCACCGGCCTCACAGGCGCGGCTGGTGGGGACGAGAGACAGGGCCTTCTCGGTGGTGACCCCTCGACTCTGGAACTCCCTCCATTAGAGATCAGAACTGCCCCCTCCCTCATGACGTTCAGGAAACTAACAAAGACCTGGTTGTGGAACGCGGCATTTGACAACTGATTTAATTCTTTGCCCACATGAAAGGAGGATGATGAATGGGATTGTGATGGTGTCGGACGATTTGGCTCTTTTAACTGTGATGATAATGTTTTAATGTGTATAGTGCTGATATTTTAATCGTGTTATGAAGTGGCATTTTGTTGTTATTCTTTGTATGTTAACACATGTTGTGAACCGGTCCGAATCCCTCTTTGAAGGTGAAAGAGTCGGTATATAAAACCTCGAAATAAATAAATAATAAATAAATAATCACTATTGTTTAGAGAGGCTTTTTGTCCCTAAATTATAATTTAAATTATGTTTGTATTTTACTTGCTTTGTTTTATGTTTTTCTTACGTTTGTACTTGATTGTTTTAATTACTAAATTAGAATAATTGTGATAGAGCACAGTTTGGAAGAAAAGTGAGCGACAAGCTTAAGAAACATAACATTACTTGGACAATTGAACTGCTATTTCTGAATTCTTTGACATTACATTCTCTATGTTACTGTTTAGTAGATGTCACCCTGTTATACTAGATCAGATGACTGCGCTCCTCTAAGTGGCCTAATTGTAAAGAAATTCTTGTGTCTGTAATAAAATTGTTAATGATACCGGCATATGTCTCCTTATATAGGTTTCACTGGCTATTCTCTACATACTTCAGTTATTTTAGACTGAGCAGAGATGGAAAATGTGCAGGCCTCAGCCTAATTTCAAAAACTCTCTGAAAATTTGGTTTCAGCCTCTAGCAAGGGTGATCTGTTCCTCCCCTGATAACCCACTAGGCGGAAGGGGGAGAGGGAGAGAGAAAATCAATTTATGAGGGCAAAGAGAGAGAGAGAGAGAGAGAGAACAGGAAAAAAGAGAGCGCACTATACTTTTGACTCTGGCTGTGCTCAACATTGGCTTGGTTCCATTCATCAGAAAATCTGCCCTGCTCAGGAATACATAAATAACTTTTTTAAAACACAGAAGCCTTTAAAGCCTCTTCCAGAGCTATGATCATTAAAAGGATGTCCTCACAGAAGAAACAAACTACAACTGTGGCTTCTGATATAACATAACTGAAGAATCACTGTCCTAGAATAGCATAGGTTCAATGGGGCAGCATAGATGTCCTCTTATTTCTATATCTATTCCTTTAATAGAGGAAACATCAGTGATAGGAATTATTGATTTGCATGTAGATGGGCTGAACATCAATTCTTGGCATCTTCATTTGAAGGATTAGGTAGCAGGTGGAGCAAAAAACCTTTGCCAGAGGCTCTGGAGAACTACTCCAAATCAGACTAGACTGAGGGCCCATCCAAAAATGACCTTTATCCCAGGAGCTTCCGCAGCAAACAGTAGGGTGGCCAGATGCCATTCCCTGTAAACACAGAAGCAATAGCTACAAACCGCAAAAATGTGCAATTTTCAGGTGCGGGAATATCCCAGTTCTGAACCAAAAATCTGCATCTTTGAATGTATGTATGTCTCTGCACTTGGAAATCATGGGATTATTTATGTAGGTTTATTCCTGGTTTTTAGGTGTTTGTTCCTGATTTGTTTTTTCTTATAAAAAAGGTAACAGTTGTGTAGAACGCAAAAACTTTGTTTATGTGTCAGAAACTTTATGAAACGTGTGGAGGGCACATTTCTCTGGCCAAGCCAAAGTTGTGACCCCCTAGTCAATGTTGTACAATAAGAGGAATCAGGAACAGACATGTATAACCCAGGAACAACACCCTGTCTGCACAGATGACCCTGCAGTTTATATAACAGGAATTGAACTTATACAATGATTTGCATCTTTGCACATTCGCATCTTAAGTTTTTTTTTAAAAAAATGCCAAAATTTCTGGCAGAAGTCCTCAGGCGGGCATCTTGGAAGCCTCTAAATCCTGCAATGAAGCAGCAAGTGTGGATGATGGAGGCAGAAATCCTGGGACCAACAGGTCTGTATGTGGACCTCTTCTGAAGTCCTGGGATTTTTTTTGCTCCTAATTAAAACGAGCGATTTGGTGCTGTCTGGAAGCACCCTGAATGGACAAATATCCTAAGCTAAAGTCAGGCAGCTTCCCATGATTCTGCATAACTAGAGGACTGGAGGTGATTTTTAAAAGCAATTACTTACAGTTGTAAGTTACAAAAGTATCTCATTGTAACTAATAAGTGCTAGGCCAAGATGCAATAAATAAATCCCTTACCAAAAATAAATATATTACGGCACACTTCACCCCTCAACATAATCAGTAGAATATTACAAGCTGCTGGCCCATGTTACAGAACCCATGCTCCTCTCATGTGCTTGCTGTTCTCTCCACTCTCACCAAAGAGTCCTAGACAATGGTACCAGGCATAGCCTAAACCAGCACTTGATGCTCCTCATTTACTGCGGACAAATTGACATGACTATAAAAATAACTAAAAATTTACATTAACACTGCAAAAGAAGTCAGGTTGCCCCTCATTAATATATACTTGCAATGGAATATAGAGATACATTTTAAATGGGAAACATGAATTAACGATAAGTAACTAATTATTTATATGTGGTTCATTTCAAGCTCTGGGTGTAATAGATAACTTCATTTCACAATTCAAATATACATTTCTTTAACAAACTTCTGATTTGGAAACTCTTCTCTGGACACAAACAAACACAAATAAAGACCACAAACCACTCACATGTGCCTGAGAGATACACACCAAGACGTACTAGACACCAACTAAAGACAACACATGGCGACACAAAACAAGCCTCTCAGTTACCAAGACACTCAACTCTACGTGTACCAGCCAAACAAAAGGTTCTCAAAGTGTGACGTAGGGATCAGCCTCCCCATAAATAGATATACCCTGCTCTTTGCAGTCAGTATAAATCTTGATTGCTCCTTTTTCCCAAGTACCATTCAGTGTGATGATTGGGTTTCCTGGCTTGCGTTGTGTGAATTGTGTATATGCCTGCTGTGAGTCCTATGACACATCATCTAGGAATATCCAAAGCAATTGAGTCACATTTGTGTTGCCTTCTATTTCCCATCGTTTCCATTCTCTCCCTGGCATCAGAACAGGAGAGGGAAAGCTTATAGGATTTAAAAAAATGTCCTTTGTGGGATGCACTTTTTTTTTTGCTTCTTCAACTGGAAAGGCTGCCTACAACAGAGTTTGAGAACCCTTGTACAAAGTCCAGTGATCTCTCCCAAAGAATCCAGGCACCGTGGACTCAGGGAGAACCCCTGGGCAATCCAAGGGTGTACACAGAGACCAACGTACCCTTGATCTTCTCGCCCTTGCTGATGGAGAGCTCACCCTCGGCCTGGGACTGGTAGGGTTTCACAGCCATGAATGTGCGGCCAGGCACAGCTGAATAGAGTTTCCGCTTCACGCCCCGGCTGCTCAGCGTGCTCCCTCCAGCAGACTCCTTCTGATATCCACTGGAACTGCCAAGGGAAATAGTGAAAGAGAGGCCAAGACGTAGCCAAGTAGAATGCATGAGTCCCAAACATGAATGCAAACATGTTTTGTACTTCTGCAAGCCTTAGGGTTCTTGCTGACACCGCCCTCTTGTGTGTGGTTAGTGCTGTTTGGTTATATAATGACCCACTGTCAGATAATGTTATCTCAAATTCACATGATTTCTTCCTTGTGATTCCACCCCCAGGTTCAAAAACTATCCTGTGCTTTTGCTCTTCTATAACTAATTAAAATCAAGGATGGGAGTTCCGGGTCTCCAGCATCACATCCGCATTTAACTAGAAATTCTTAAATATCCAAGAGTAGATTTCTATACTCTCCAACTGTGGAGGTCTTTAAACAGAGACTGGATGGGCATTTTTCCAGAATGCTTCAATTGTATATTCCTGCATGAAAGAGGATTATACAAGATGGCTGCTGTGATCCCTTCCAATGTAAGATTCTATCATTTATTTTTGCCATAATGGCCTCCCTTTCACAGAAATGCTGGCTTTCGGAACTCTATTTTTGCATTTAATGTACACCAAAAGTAACCACAAATAATGGCTACCTTATCACCTTATGTGTTTGTACCCATTTCGAGGCATTGAATGTTTGCCTTTTTTATTTGTATACTGCCCTGAGTTCCTCCGAGGAGAGGGGGTGGTCTAGAAATGAAGTAATAATAATAATAATAATAATAATTATTATTATTATTATTATTATTATTACTATTACTATTATTATTTCAGTATCATGTATATAATGTAACCCCTCCCCATGACACCCATTGGTATCACACAAATGCCTGAACAGAAGGAATCGCCCAAGATTCTTCATGCAAGCCTGTGCTATAGGGGTCTCCCTTGATAGGAGGCCTGTGCATTTGCAACAGTACACACAGATATCCTTTCTTTGTAGATGTTTGTACAGCACACACAGAACTCAAGGGAAAGGCTTGACACGGTTCTTTTTTGGACTGGGCAAGGGAGAGTCACCTTACAGGTGCAATGTCACGATCAGAGCTACTTAATATGGGACTGCTCTCCATCCGTGTGGTTATTATCACTGTTGTCAAACACTAGTCAAATGGATTTCACCAAATGGATACAGCCTTTTAGATCCCAACTCCCTTGCCCATTAAATCCCAACTTCCTCCAGAGCAAACTAGGAACCAGGCATTCTTCCCAATATGCCCATCAGTTCAGACCTTTGAAGAAATGTCCAGTGCCCTATTCAGGAGAATGAACACAAGACGACTCTAAAACGTAAGTGATGTACACTGTAATCTAGAGTTGGGAAGACATTAAGTTCAGAGTTGCACCATTGTCTTATCCCACTGTTACAGTGTGTAGGCCAGATATCTTCCATTCAACCAAAGCCAATCCTGAAGCATCCAGTACGAAAAATACCTGGGGCGGCCACGCTGCTTTTTTGCTTCATCCGTGTGGCGCCCACGTGACGGAGAACGGCTACGAGCACCACGGGGACTGCTGGAACTGCGCAAGGTTCCTGTGGTGATCTTCTGTCCCTGTACAGCCACAGTGGTAGATGGGGTGGAAGGAGGGGCATAAAGCATCCAGTCTGGGAGATTCATGCTGGTGTCACTGTTAGCTCTCAGCAAGGTATGGGGCACCGTTAGGCCCTGGGAGCCATCTCGGCGTCGGCTGGCATATTGTGGGGTCTCCTGGAAAGGGACTGAATTGGACAACAATGTAAAAAAAAAAGAATAGGATGATGATGGCAAATCTGGAGAAATGGGCTCCTATAGGCCATACTTTGTAGGAAGGGCCATGCCACTAAACACATAATAGGGTATGAGTAAGGTTGGTGCAGATATGTGTGCATGTTTGAAGCTAACTCAGGCAAAATGTAGGCCAAATGACATACAGTGTGCTTGTTAATTTCCAAAGAATACTGATTTTCCTTATTTAAGAAAAAGCAAATTGCTAAGCCAGGAATAAATTAAACTGGGCTAAACAGGACATGGGAAATTTTTACTGGCAATCCAAACAAGGCAGTCCTTGTTCCAATTTACTCAGTCTCTGTTCCTGATATCAATAATGATTTTTTTCATACCATGATAAACAAAATTATTTAAAATAGAATGGGTTGCTAAGCTATCATTTCACTATTCCCCCCACCAACTTCAAAATATCACTTTTGCAAAGAAGTATTAACATCGTATTGAATGATGTATCTCTACCTTGACATGGCAACATAGTGGCATTGCTCCATGCCACCTTAATACCCATTATGAAGGAAAATAATACACAATTGTTCTGGAAATAAAATATATCAAAATCAAAACACACTTTGTATAATGTAATGTCATGTTGTATAGTGTTGCCTGCTTTGGTATAATCTTTTCAGGATACAGCCAAAGTATATTGCTTATGAAGTATTAGTGTGAAAATGATCACAGCCCACTGAAAGTATAAAATACCAGTATTATTGTCCCTACAAAGAAGTTTTGATCTCCAAACCTAATGTTAAATTGCAACATACCCCCAGTGCAAGACATGCTCTCATTTTATAACAGTGAAATTTACCCATTTTTGCCCACTCTTTTCACTGCCACTGACCACATGATGCCTTCCCATTCCTTTTTCCACTCTCCTTTCCCATAGGTGTTAATGACGGAGAGTACCGGGGACCCATAGATAACCAAGGGATGCCAGGGTGCTTAGTCTGAGAGGCAGTAGAAGGGAATGAAATTCAGCTAACTAGCAGCAAGCTATCCTAAATTTACTTGAACTTCCTTCAGATCAGACATCCTTAGGATTGCACTGAGAATCTGTTTCCATTTATAGTACAAACATTTTGATGATATTCTTCCTCCCATCAAACTCACCCACATCTGAATCTCGGTGGCTCTTGATCAGCTCTCCCAGTTCAAAGTTTCCTGCAATGACCGCCACCTTGTACAGAGAGAACATATATGCATCCATGAATAACAGTCATCCCTCCTCAATTGCTGACAGATCAGTATAAAGGTAAAGGTTTCCCCTTGACATCAAGTCTAGTTGTTTCCAACTTTGGGGGGTGGTGCTCATCTCCATTTCTAAGCCAAAGACCCGGCATTGTCCGTAGACGCCTCCTAGGTCATGTGGCTGGCATGACAGCATGAAGTGACTTTATTGTCCTGTCAAAGCAGTACCTATCGATCTACTCACATTTGCGTGCTCTTGAACTGCTAGGTTAGCAGAAGCTGGGGTTAACAATAGGCGCTCACTCTGTCCTGCTGATTTGAAACACCGACCTTCCGGTCAGCAAGTTCTACAGCTCCGTGGTTTAACTCATTGCACCACTGCGGCCCCTTGACAGATCAGTAAGAAACAGCCAGTTTCTCAATTTATTTGCTTTTGTCCTATTTTCCATCAGCACGCCCAAGCACTCTCTTTTTCTATAGCTATTTGATGCTTCAGTCTTAAACCAGTGCTAAAGAGCAGGTCTTAGTTCCAGATTCCACACTTTAGACTTTGACAACAGAAGTTAGGTGAAAAGGGGACTGATTTCCTTGAAGGAAATACATAATATATCCAGAATGATTTGAGTCAAAATTCAGTTGTTAGTCCCAACTAGATCAGATTTGCTGAATCAATGAAAACTTTGTTAACATTTACGTAAGTTTCACTGATTCAATATGTCTCCTTCAGTTGGGACTGTCAACTAAATTTAGGGCAAGAATGGTTCTTCCTTAACACCCCTGAGCCTGAGTCCACAAACACCCATATTCACATGATCAGTCATTGATACCTGGCACTGAAAACAGGTAGCCCCCAGTGGCAAAATGGGTTAAACCCTTGTGCTGGCAGGACCGGTAACCAACAAGTCAGCGGTTTGAATCCAAGGAGAGTGGTTTGAGCTCCCTCTGTCAGCTCCAGCTACTTGTGCGGAAGTAGTTATCTAACCTGTACCCTAGGAGTCCCTGGTGGTGCAATGAGTTAAACCCCTGTGCTGGCAGGACTGAAGACCAACAGGTCGCAGGTTCAAATCCAGGGAGAGCGTGGATGAGTTCCCTCTATCAGCTCCAGCTCCCCATGAGGGGACATGAGAGAAGGCTCCCACAAGGATGGTAAAATATTAAACATCCGAGTGGCCCCTGGGCTATGTCCTTGCAGATGGCCAATTCTTTCACACCAGAAGCGACTTGCAATTTTTCAAGTCGCTCCTGACACACACACACACACACACACACACATTGAAACCAGGTCCAGGGTCTCAGCCCTGAAATACCTTGGCTACAGTTTGGGTCAGCGTGCCTCACTCTTACTTTCTCTTGGAAGCAACTCACCACTTACCTGAAAAGCAGTCTGCCCGTGGTTGTTCTTGATCTCTTTGTTAGCTCCCCGGTATAGCAGGATACGAGCACAGCTCTCCTGGGAAATAGGGGAGGAAGAGAATGGAAAGAGATTGAGAAAGAGAAGTAGATGGGGTTGGGGGAGGAGAGGGCCAGGAGGAAGAAATGAAGAGGGAGAGATGGGATGAAAAAAGCGCAGTGTCTGCCTATGACAGTCTCAACGGAAAAGGGGGCATATCTGCAATGATGAGAAAGTACCAAGAATGTATTCCAATCTTTAAGTCCCAAAGTGGATATATGAGATTCTTTTTGATTGCACTCATCCTCACTGTAATGTAGTCTTCATGCAGAACATGGTGTCCTTCCCACTACAAAGATAATTCCCAATATACAGATGGGGGTTTTGAGGCTGCCAGACAAATGACTGCAAAAGGCTTTTCAAGTGAATATATAGAGAGCAGAACAGATCTTTGAGGCAAAAAGTCAACACCCTATGCTAACCTCTGTCTGTGTGAAAGGCAGCCTTTCATTATCGAAATACACCTTTAAAACCCATGGCCACCCAGAGAGAATTCCGGTTGATATTTTATTCCATGTTTCCAGAAAGTGTAAACCGATAGATTCAAGTTTCTGTCTCTCTCCTACATCCTTTCAACAAGCCTGCTTTTCATATATTTTACATTTGCCACCTCAGTACTCATAACAAGCATTTCTCTTTTTTCATTCTTTGTTTATAAAAAAAAACGTGGCTTAAATATTTCCAAACACAAGCTTTTCATAAAAGAACTTTGGCAGGTATTGGAAAGTACTTTAAAAAATATTAATTAATTAATGTAACATGCAGTTCAATTACTGAAACAGAATGGTAACCCTGGAAAATCTGTTGTGCCATTTTTGGAAAGTGTTTTAAGTTTCTAGTCCCTTAGGTCTACTGAGAGTAACCTAAAAAGATCAAAGCCTGAAGATATAAAAGTGTGCCTGTACTGGGAATTATAGCACTGAGAGAATGATTTGGGTAACATGAATCCCAGTCTTTGTGCACTGGTCCTTCAGATGTTTGAAAATTTAATCCTATCCTCCCAAAAATGAGAGTCATGGTCAATGGTAAAGGATTTGGGAACTGTCACCTCAAACACTTGAAGGACCAAAGGTTTCCTACTCCTAAGAGTGAAGATGGGTGTTCTCACTCTGTGTAAGCCTGGCTAAGCCATCATATTTGACTCTGAAAGCTGGCAGGTAACACCAGCGATGCTATCCAACACTGTCTGCTGATTCAAATTTGCAGAACCAGTGTTGGCTTTGGGATGCCTTGGGCAAGATGCCCTCAGTTTCTTCCTCTTTGAGTAGCTCCACCTCCTCATTATTACAATCACAGCTCTCCCTTTGTTTCCCCATATCCCTCTGAGCCCAGTCTTCTCCATCACTAAAAGGAAGAGGTCAAAGTGAGCAGAGTTTTCTGATCCTCCTTATCATTGCTAATTTTGCTGCTAATTCACTTGAAAAAGCTAAATGAACAGGCAGCGCAGCATAAAAGAAGAATAGCAGAGCCAGAGGTCTATAGGGTTTGGCAGTGAGCCCATTCTTGGCAGATACCCTGAAATGTTGACTTCTATACCAGTCGTATGCAGACTCATATGCAATTATTATTATTATTATTATTATTATTATTATCATCATCATCATCATCATCATCATCATCATCATCATCATCATTATCATGTATTATTATTATTATTATTATTATTATTATTAATAATAACAATAATAATAGCAATAATTTAAACATGACCTCACAATCATGTTAAAAACAACGTATGGATCAGCGATGTTTCAATCCCAGGCGACAGCAGGATTGAAGAGAAACAACTGGAAAAGCTGACATAATATAAGGATTTAAAGATCGAACTGCAAAGACTCTGGCGCAAGCCAGTAAAGGTGGTCCCAGTGCTAATTGGCACACTGGGTACAGTGCCTAAAGACCTTGGCCTGCACTTAAACACAACTGGCACTGACAAAATTACCATCTGTCAGCTGCAAAAAGCCACCCTACTCGGATCAGCATGCATTATTCACGGATACATCATTGGAAAGTGTCCAACGTGTGATCCAATAGAACAGCCAACACAGCGATCTTGTTTGCTGTGCACTAATCTTGTACTGTTTCTAATAATAATAATAATAATAATAATAATAATAATTTATTTTAATACCAAGCCACCATCTCCCTGAAGGGATTTGCGGCATCTCACAAAAGTACTCAATGGTGCAAACATACAACATACAAGTGCGTAACAATAATACAATAGCAATAACAGATAATATAACATCATAAAACATCATTTAAGAACTTGGACTGAAGTAAAAGAGACTGAACAGACTGAAGTGAGGCTGTTTCTAGATGGCAATATTCTTTTCTAAAATGGATTTCCCCCCCTTACCTACTGTGAAAAGAGCCTGGGAACATGGTTTTCCTTAATGGTGGGATCTCTTTTTTAATGTATTTCATGAAAAACAGAACCACAGTGGGCTCCCAAGCAGTTAGGGTGAACCATACCATGGCTATTGGTGATGGTGTCTGAGATGATGGAGGCTGTAGTCAAACATATTTAGAGGACACCAGATAAGGAAGGATGCTCTGTGCTATCTGGCTGTTTGAAGGAGGATGGTTTCAAAGCTTTTTTGAGATGGATTGCTTCACTCTTAGAGACATTTCCTTTTCTAAAGCATAGATGATAGAATCTACATCCATCTTCACTATAATTTAGGAATAAGGGATTTTTGATCCATCAGGTTTAGTGTTGTATTTCCAGAGGTGTTCTGCGAACCTGACCAATTAAACCAATAGAACTTACATCGCTATTTTGTCAAGTTCTCATTGATTCAACAGGTCAGTTCTAGTTGGGGCTACCTTTGGATTTAGGCCACAAATTTTAATCAATCTTTGTGAAATATCCATAGAACACAAAGGATAGCTTACCACCATACCGTTTTGAATATCCTGATCCACATGGTTCCAAAGGACACAACATTATGGGAATTTGAGAAGACTGAAAATAGCTCTCTTGCCTTGAATGGAATATAGGCTGGGCCAACAGTGAAGTAAATTCCACTTCCAATGTAAATTATCAAGCTAGCAAAACACAAATCACTTAGAAATTTGGTACAGCCCCCCAATTATATTTGACTTTCTTAACAAAAGAATTCTCAAGATAAGATCAAATTGGGATGTGGGATAAAACTGGGAAAGTGGATGGGAAATAAAACCAAGAGCAGTGATCAGTAATGGGGGTCCTCAGCACTGGTCCCAAACTCCTGAATCTCTAAATGGTTCTGTTGGTCAACATCAGGATAATAATAATAATAATAATAATAATAATAATAATAAAGCTCATCACACCTACCTTGTTGTAGAGTGCACAGATGTGTAGTGCTGTATTCCCAGAGGCATTCTGTGCACCTGGCTCAGCGCCATAGAAAAGCAAATGTTCCAAGTGCTGGGAGTGTCCATGTTGGCAGGCCTGGTACGTGGAGAAGCAGAGGTCAGGAATGCATGGTGGGGCTAGATGGTCAGATGGACAGGTGCATGTCACAGCCACCCCCCTCAATCTTTAGGCTTGGAGCCAGCCCTGGCAGGAAACACACATAGGATGTAATATGGGTCGCTAGCTATCTTGCCCATAACATTGGGGGCTACCAGACATGGAATCTGACAGTGCCTGGAGGGGTGAGGACAGCATCTAATACCTTACCTGGTGTATCTCCTGCCAGCCATTCTCATCAATAGTTCCAATGTGAGCCCGATTGTAGAGCAGAAGCTCACAGCAGCGCGGGTCACCTCCAACCATGGCAGTGTGGTATAGTGGAGTCAGCCCACGGCGATCCTTGTAATTGGGGGAGCCCCCCAAGTCCAAGAGTGCCTGTGGAAGGCAGACAGGAAGATATGAACGGCTATTTCTCAGCCCAAAGTAAATTAAAATTTGTCTTTCCACAATGGCTTATTGTATGCTGACCACTATCGAAAATAACACATTAAATCAGTAGGCAATCTTGTTCCATGGCATTTCTGATATTTTGAAATCACTGTAAGTATATCATGGCAGACTGAAAGCCGCTACAGCTCTCCCATGACTTACTGCCTTGCAAACTCAAGTTGGCATGGAGCCCACCACATCAAATTATGCTTGTTGTCTGCACACAGATCTGCACAAAGTACAAATCCTGACAAGGTCCTCAGGGAGGGATCTCTTTCAGCATACCATTGAAAACTATTCAGATGGCTATTTCTTGAATCTTCTAAACAGGAGTCTAGCGATTGGAGTGACAGGGCAAAATGAGGTCAAAGACCCCTTCTAAGTAAGAATTTAGAACCCCCAAATAAATTTGCCCTGAGCCCCCCAATGTCTAACAATTTAGAGAGTGAAACATTTAAAACCATTGTGTCCACAGTCTCTTAGTTATTTTGTCTGCCCATTTTATTTCAAAACCTTAAACTGTATTTCCAAATGCACGACTGAAAGTTTTAAATTACAACAATGCCACACATTTAGGCACTGAAGGTAAATGTCATTTTGGGGTTGGGACTCTTATTTGGGTAGCAATGACTTAATTTTGGTCCCTTGTAGCTATGCCACTGCTTCTAAATCACTGCACATTAATGGCATTACATGTTAGCACAGCACATGACACCACAACCTTTCATGACATATAATAAGGGCTGACATTAAGTCTAGTCATGTTCGACTTTGGAGGATGGTGCTCATCTCCATTTCTAGGCCGAAGTGCCGGCATTGTCCATAGACACCTCCAAGGTCATGTGGCCAGCAGAAGCCCTGTTATCTTCCCGCAGAAACGGTACCTATTAATCTACTCACATTTGCATGTTTTTGAACTGCTAGATTGGCAGAAGCTGGGGCTAACAGTGGGAGCTCACCTCGCTCCCCAGATTCGAACCACCAACTTTTCGGTCAGCAAGTTCAGCAACTCAGAGGTTTAACCCACTGCACCATATAAAACATAACATACCAGGTGGCTCCTCCTGGTATCTTTATGTATTGCTCTCACTTCTCTCAGAACTTAATTCTTACATGATTTTAATGCCAAGAGAATGTAGCATTTAGATGCTGATATTACCATCAGGGCTGAATAATGGTGAGAACACACGGCTTTGTGCAATGCTGTGGCTCCATCCCTTGCACGGAAGTCTATGTGAGCTCCACCAAGGCACAGCAGCCGGATCACGTCAATCGTCCCATCCAACTGGGCTGCTAATGTCAAAGGCGTCTCTGCAGATAAGGCACAGGGTAGTTATTGGGATGCATTTGTGGGTTGTGTAACTGACACCCAAGGCTACTTTTCCCTCCCCAATTTTATCCCCTTGATAGTTACCACCAGTGTCAGAATCATGATAGTTGGGGTCCAGCCCTTTGTCCAGGAGTCGTGCCACTTTCTCAGCTGCTCCATGTTGGACATATTCCAGGAACTTCTTCAACCCCGTCTGGGGAAAGATTTGCCAGTGACAGTCCTTGAGAGTCAGGGAAGGGAGGGGACAGAATACTGCGGGTGGAAAAGAGGAACACAGAGGAGCTGGGCCTAGTTCTTAAACCACCCAGAACTTCTTATGGGCATGAGGAATTTCCAGGCTGAGCACAAATTGCCTTGCCCTGCCCTCCTCAGTGAAAAGGAAGCATCCCGTGGGCACATTCCTTTATACTCTGGTTTCTTAATACAACATTGTAAATAAACCTAGAAATATTTGTTGTTATTGTGATTAGGTGGATTCAAATCAATTATAATTTAGGGTGACCTTTTCCTTTGGTTTTCTTTGTAAGCTTTATTCAAAGGAGATTTAACACTGCCTTCTGTTAGGCTAAGAGCGAGTGACTTGCTCAAGGTCATCCAGTGGTTTCCATGACTCAGTGGGGTTTTAAATTTTGGTGTCCCAGAATCGTAATGATCAAATCATTATATCACATTTCATCCCTAGTGCCTCTTATCTTACCAGCGAAGAGAAAAATAACTTCCATTTTTATACTGGTGCAAGAAGAAGGAAGGCATGGAATCAAGTAAATCAATATACTCTCAGAAGCTCTCTACATCACACATTGTGGTATAGTGGAGCTGGGGTTTGTAGGGTAGATGCACAGCACTTTTAGATTATCAGGGTGGTATTGTCATCTTCTACTCCTCTTAACTTCCCTATCTTCTTTGGGCATGAATGTAGCTAAGACAGAGGAGTGGAAGCGGAGTATCTTCTAAGAAACAACATATAGTTGTGAGCTCTCCCTGTTGTAAGGCAAAGTAATTGGAGGTGGTTTTATCTTTGGTCTTGACTGAGCAACTCACTCCCATGAGTTTATACAAAAGGCTTATGGAGAGATCAAGACAGCTGCCTGACTTTTTTGAACTATCAGTAGGGGGCCTGGCTAAGGGAGCTGTCATAATGAGTGTCTTCTCTTCAAAATATACTACACCACTATTCTTACAATATTTTGCTAACAAAAGGCAGGATCAGAGAATGTGAATGCTGTGACTTTACAAAAGCTGAGATTTTTCAGACTAAGTGCAAGCTCTCACTCAACACAAATTTTTTTCAAGTTTTCATTCATGCCTATTGAGGAAACTTTTCTCACCTTAGTGTGGAGTTTCGCCAACTGCTTCTCATCCAAGTTGGTCTGCTTGTAAACCCGAGTCTTGTAACGGAACTGGAAAATATGTGATGATGGAACAGCAGAGAAAGTTACTGTGGTTGCATAAATGGTGTTTAGTCATCTTCAGAGATGTTTCTAAAAAGATACCACCTTGTCACTACTGTCCCTGCAGTTAAGAAAATCTGCAAAGGCTCACAAAGAGAAGAGGGGACTCGGCAGAAGGCATATTGCCTTACAGCTAGTTCTTTTAGTTCAAATAACTCAAAGCTTAGGAATGTTACCTTTTTGACCAGAATCCCCAAATTTCTGTGCAAACTAGGGATATAAGAAGTATAGCTAGAAACAATTATGTTTTCAATCTCAGCCTCTGATAATTGAAGTATACTATATTATTTGTGAACTTCATCCTTTGAAGAATGTTAAGAGGTTGCATCCTATGAAGAATTTTAGACTAAGGTTGAATAGACTTTAAGCCTGCAGAATCTGTTTTTCTTTATTAGAACTGGAGGCGGGTTCAAAGGGAAGGACAGACAGACATTGAGAACGAAGGAGCAACCAGCCTTTGAGTAGCATTCTTTGTTGGAAATGACAACTTTCATCAAGCCTCCTCTAGTAATTTGTTTATCTACAATCCTGTTGCTAACTTATTGTATATATGTTCCGATATGCAGCTTTCTTCCTTTACTCTATGTTTTCCTGAGACGTAGTGGGAGGGGCTGCAGACCACATGATCTGCTGCAAGAAGAGCACAGAGCTCAGACTCCATTAGACTTTGGGACTGCTCAGACCAATGCTTGCCTGCTGTTGTAAGAAAGATGCCCTGAGCCATCTGCACAGAGAAACTATCGCAAACATATCTGTAACTAGACTGATAAGTTATGTGCCAGTGTATGCAGAAGACATGAAGTTGTGAGTAAACCAAATACTTATGTTATTTTTTACAAAAGTCTACTTTATTTTGTCTCTTAACTGCATAATATAAAACAAGTTGTTTTATGAGAAAGTAGATATATTTTTGGGCACTGAAAAACACTTCTGAGGAAGTGCTATTTTTTATGCTCTGGCATATTCTCTGTTCCTAAAAGATCAGAGACAATAGGTTAATTCAGGCTAACAATTGAAAGCCAATTGCCTTGCATAATTACATGTGGCTGCGTACCACTTGAGAAGATTATACTCAAACGGGGTTTTGGCTCTTCTTTGAAAGATCATGCTTTTCCAAAAGGTTATGATCTCCAAATGGCTATGAATGGGATTTTCTAAATTTCTTAACCTCAGTCTAAGAATATCTTTTCCATAGCTCATTTTTCTTTTGAGAGTGGTCCAATGTCCTGCTGTCCAGATGATCCTTTTTGAAGGCATCACTGCAGTGATGTCAAACCCCCGGTCCTCCAGGTGTTTTGGACTTCAGCTCCCAGAATTCCAAGCCATTGTTGAGCTGGTTAGGGCTTTTGGATTTGGAGGCCCAACCACCTGAAGGACCTCAGGTTTAACACCACTGCTCTATTGAAAGGGCTGTTTGGTCCAGTTCTGACAAAGAAGCCCAAAAAGAGAAAGCCAAAGGGGCCTTGAAATTGTCCATCAAGAGTGAGCACTTGGATAGCACACTGACAAGGCAACTGTGTGTCCTGGTTACAGTTTTCCCCACTGATATACTCATAATACATAAATCTGCAAAAACATATTTGTATCCTCTTTTGCCCCTTTTTTGTTATGCATTTCCTTTTTACAGGTGATGTGTAAGTGGCTATGCTAAGAAGGTGCTTAGCCCCATTCCTAAAAACTGTAGGAATGGAGAGGTCCATATGGCAGTAGAGTGTGTTTCAGATAACCCAGTTTCAGGTTATAAGATTTCCAGGCCCTGGAACATCCATGGCTTGAAAACACAAGTGAATGAGAACACGGTGGATGTCTACATGCGTGCGTGCACACACACATCTCTCTGTTTTATCCAAGCTTTTCTCCCCCAGCAGCCTCACTGAGTGGTAGAGGTGGAAAGGGTGTTTACTGTTATGAAACAATTATGAGACAGAAAGTCTTCCAATCCAGTCAATTTTTTATTGTTCGTGTTTCATATTTTTTAAAAATTATAATATGCCATTCAGCAAATTCTGGTTTTTAGCTTGGTCCAAAAGCTCAAGAAATAAATACATGCACTTCAGATCACCCAGAGATCTGCCACTAGATCCCAATCTACTATCTGCCCACCTCTGTTTTAGAACATTGTGCTGTACCTAGCATTTATATAAACGTTCTTCCATGGATGTCTGTGACTAGAGACAAGATGTGTCTGGCCCCTCCCTTCATCACAGATATAACTCCTATAGATCAGAAGGAAGAATGTCATCTCACATATTCATATGATTCAGTACCACCTACTCTTCAAGAAGTGCCTCAAGACATAGCTATTTTCTGAGACCTTCTCTAATTTGCTGAATCTGTCGCTCTCCTTCTGCTGCCTTCCCTTCCCCCTATCCTCCACCTTCTTTGCCTCCAGTGTCTGTTTACTTAGATTGCAAGCCTGTGGGCAAGGTTTCATCACAGCTAATCTTATGTTTTATATTGTACAGTGTAAACATATTAAGTCGGATTTTGAGGAAGCAAATCATTGCTAACCTAAGTCCCACTGAGTTTAGTGGGACCCAAGCATGACTAATGTTGACTAATGTCTAGACCCAACACACTATTGGTAATATCCAACAGTGTCTTTATACTTCTGTAAGGATGGGTAATGTGTGACCTTCACACGCTGCTGAACTGCAGTTCCCATCAGACCACATCAGCCTAAACAATACGGAAGGACAATGGGTGCTGCAGTTGATCAATATCTCATTCTCCTGCCAAGCACTAGGGGAAAGTTATTTCATGAGAGTTCTGCTGATCCTAGTGCACTCTGAGGCACATCCCATAATGTTCCAGGAGGTGTCCCAAGGAACTGGGGGATATGGTGAGAAACCCTGGCGATCTAATACAAATCACTCAGAGATCTATTTGTAGATCCAATTCTACCTTCAGACCTACCTCCAAGTAGGGCACTCCCTTCTCAAAACTTTGTGGATATTCACGCAAGAGGCGCTCTTCATCCAGGAATTTGGCATCCCGTCCATTGGTGGCCGGCTGGAAGAGCCCATAGTTGAGCACATCCTTGAGGCTTTCATTGAGGGTGCAAAGAATTTGTTGCTTTGCCACCCAAATGGCTGCATCAGGGTTGAAACGCAGGCATTTCTAAAATAAGACCAACACAGTAGCGGAATGGGGAGAACAAAAGGAATGCATTACGATAACACAAAGCAACATCCTTTCAGAGATTGCTCTAATACAGAGGTCTTTATTTACATGTATCTTTTAACAGACACAAAGCAGTGCAATAATTTCTTCCTGTTAATTCCATTATTATTCCTACAAAACAGACTGATTTTAGAATGATGACTTAAATCGTCGACTGTTTGACTGTTTTTATACTGTTTTTATATTGCTTTTATTTAAATTGTATATTTATGCTTTTGGTTGTGGGCACCATTGTGTGCCACTTGTTAGCCGCCCTCTGAGGAGGTCTAGATAGGATGGGATACAAATGTCCGAAATAAATAATAAATAAATAATATCAATTCTGTGAAGGCTGACCAACTCAAGATACCACCCCCACCTCTAATTCACATACAGAAGTCAACTGGATTGTAAATCAAAACTTCTTTTGCCATTAGTAATGGAACAGTGTTATCCACTACATCAAGGACAGGAGGATAGATTGGGGTAGCAAGCCAGGGAACAGGGTTGCCAGCCCAGAAACTATAAAGGGTTCCTATACCTTTAAAGGTTCTGTAGAGGAAATTTCATCAGGCACTGTTTATCACACAACTAGATAACAAGCAACACCTGCTAAAATTGCCTTTTCTATACACCTATTAAAGCAAAGGTGGCAACTACACAGGGGGTGGTAGAGATTTTATTTTCCAGCTCTTTCAGTGAACCCAAAGTGATGTGGATATAATTCTTGCAACCGTACTGGATTGATTTTCTCTCTCTTTTTCCTGTGTGTGTTTTGAGGAGGTTAGGCAGTGGTTCCCAACCTTTGGTCCTCCAGGTGTTTTGGACTTCAACTCACAGAAATCCCAGCCAGCTTACCAGCTATTAYGAATCRTGGGGGCTGAAGTCCAAAACACTTGGAGGACCAAATGTTGGGAACCACTGGGTTAGGGGGACTTAGCAAAGTTAAGATGACAAAAATGTTGCATTTTGGAGTACGTTTGGCCCCTTTGGGGGGGGGGGGGAAATACAGCCTCATCATTCACCTCCAAATTTAAAATAAAGAGTTGGATGGGGCTGGAGAAGTCTTCTTTTGGGTCTTCAAGGCCATATGTAGCCTTCAATTTGTATTTTTTTAACGCTTACATTAAAGCAGAGTTTCTCAAACTGTACTCCTCCAGATGTTGTGGACTTCAGCTCCCACAATTCCTAACAGCTGGTAAACTGGCTGGGATTTCTGGGAGCTGAAGTCCAAAACACTTGGAGGAGCACAGTTTGAGAAACACTGCATTAAAGAAACAGAATCCTTCTCTGGTGTTCACTTTGGCAACCCTATGTAATATAAACTTCTCTAAAGTTCACTTCTCTAAAGTTGCATCTACGCTGTAGAATTAATGCAATTTGCCACCACTCATTGCCATGGAATCCAGGGAGCTGCAGTTTTATGAGTTAGTCTTTCCTGCTAAAAAGTGCTTGTGTCTCACCAAAATACAATCCCCATGATTGCATCGCATTGAGTCTTAATAGTTAATGTGGTGTCAAATTTCATTTACAGTGAAGATTAACCCCTTTACAGGGGAAAACCCCACCGTTTTAGGAGAAATGGCCATGAGAGCGGCAGCTGTTGCCTTTCAACATGGGTGTATAGTCTCCCATGGGCATACTAATAGGGTTGGAGTATTTGGAAAGACGCTTGGCACAATTACAACTGTTGATGCAACCCTAGTACTTGCACTGAACAATCAGATCCCATAGATAAGGCAGGCAGCAAATGCTATATAACTGTTAATGGCCTACTTCATAAAAGCATGCCTTGCCACTCAGAGACAAAGCCTTTTCCCTAAATTCAGATGAGTCTTTGGTGTGCTCCCCTTTTGGTTTAGTTTCTGGTTTTCCAGCTTTTAGCCAATACAATCGCTTTCGACCTTTACATTGCTAATTGATCACCAAGCTTCTCATTTCCCCCAAATGAACTATGACAATGAACTGCGTGAGATGGGTGTCTCTGTCTGCCCAGGGTTAAGAGCAGGCTAACCCTGCATTAGACTGAGTAATTTGCTCAAGGTCACTGAATTTAATGGCTAAGTGGGATTTGAACTTGGGTTTCCCTAGTCTAATCTCACAATTTCGCCACTACGCAACACTGCCTTCTATGATACAGCATCTAATATTAGCACCGGTTTACCCTTCCCAGCACTTCTGTTCTCTTCAGTTCCTCAAATACTTTTTTAAGCTGCTATTTATCCCAGTCAATCACACTGGGTGATATGTATTATGAAACATGTGCTACAGCTACCTTCCAGGGATAGGAAGTTTAAGAAATCCTACACTGTTCACTAAAATTATCTCTCATTATTAGAAGTTAGCCTTTTCTATTTAATCCCCCATTAAAGTAACCAAAAAGACCTTAAAGCATAAACAAGTAAACTCTTACATTTCATTAAAACTGGACTCGAACAATCAATGAACTAAATTTTTGAGATAACTATTGTATAGATTAATACACAGGATCTTGCTCAAAGTCAAGAAAGCTTCAAAATAATGAGAGTTAAAGTAGAGGTCGCTTATGTTTTAAAGAACAGGTTGAGCATCCCTTACCCAGAATTCCAAAATCTGAAATACTCCAAAATCCGAAATGATCCAAAAGGGTGGCTGGGATAGAAACACCTTTGCTTTCCAATGGTTCAAAGAACACACATTTCATTTCATGCAAAAAATACTTAAAATGTTGTATAAAATTACCTTTAGGCCATGAGTACAGGGTATTTATTTATTTATTTACTATATTTATATACCGCCCCATCTATGCCCAGAGGCAACTCGGAGCGGTTCACAAATTGGCAACAATTAGATGCCTCAACAATTATAACAAGTAAAAACAATCAAGAAATTATGTTAAAAACAATAGGATATGATATAAAAAATATATAAAAACTGTATAAAGCCTTAAAACATTATTGTGAGCGTCTCCATGTCAAATTGTTATTCCATTGCGTTATCAAGTAGTTCCATAATTCATTTCATGTTTACACTCCGGTCCCATATCTTATTAGGTACATATATAGAAGCACCTGTGTTCCAAAATACAAAGAGCTATGTAGTTTTAATTGTAATTTAATTGCTCCTAATTGCATTTTAATTTTTATGCTTTGTCAAACAAAATATTATTTTTTTAAAAAATTATATTTACCTATGCATGCATTTGCTCTGCTTTTAATTTGTATGGTGTCATGTTAGCTGTTAATCTGCATTGGGTCCCTATATTGGGAGAAAATAAAATCTATACACATAATAAAAGTGAAAATATATGTGTGTGTGTATATGGCTGGAATGTCATAGAATCATAGAATCAAAGAGTTGGAAGAGACCTCATGGGCCATCCAGTCCAACCCCCTGCCAAGAAGCAGGAATATTGCATTCAAATCGCCCCTTACAGATGGCCATCTAGCCTCTGTTTAAAAGCTTCCAAAGAAGGAGCCTCCACCACACTCCGGGGCAGAGAGTTCCACTGCTGAATGGCTCTCACAGTCAGGAAGTTCTTCCTCGTGTTCAGATGGAATCTCCTCTCTTGTAGTTTGAAGCCATTGTTCCGTGTCCTAGTCTCCAAGGAAGCAGAAAACAAGCTTGCTCCCTCCTCCCTGTGGCTTCCTCTCACATATTTATACATGGCTATCATATCTCATATGTCCACTTACACAGACAAGCCCCCACCTCCACAAACAGCTATAGTTTCCACTTCTCAGGAGACTCCAGTTGCCCTCCCTCCATTGCAGGTTATATCGAGCGCCATGAACATGTACAAGAGACCTGCCAATGTCCTCCACAAACACCATACTGCCCACCATCCAAGTGAAGGCTTTCATAGAGACAATTTCATCCTAGATTTTATGTTTTACCTCCATCACAGAAATCCCAATGTTTCTTATTCTCTCCATTGATGTAGAATTTACATGACCCTGCCCACTGCCTCTCCCTTAACTATTTTCTGTTCTTTTCTATGGCACACAGGAAACAGAGGAATTGATCAGCAACTGAACATGCTAGAGAGGTTTGGGGAGAAAAGTCAGTGTTTGTATGTATGTATGTGGGTATGTATGTATGCAGCGGTGTGGCCACTTCTATAGGCCAGTGCAACCCCTACAAATGACGGACTTGGACCAAACTTGGCACACAGACTCCCCGTGACCAAAATATGGCCAACTGTGCATACAGATAGGGTTTGGGGATGATTGCCTTGGGAATCTGGGAGTTATAGTTCACCCTTATCCAGAAAGCACTAAACCCAGCCGACGATGGATCTGGACTAAACTTGGCACACAGACCCAAAATGGCCAACTTTGAATACTGGCAGGGTTTTGGGGCGATTGCCCTGGTATCTGGGAGTTGAAGTTCTCCGTTATCCAGAGAGCACTGAACCCAGACAATGACGGATCTGGACAGAACTTAAGTGATATCACCTAACATCCCAAAACAAGCAATGCCTTTTTCATATCACCCGGGCATCGTCGGGTCCCAAGCTGGTAAAGTATAAAAACAATGTAAATAAATAAGGAAGTCATTCCTAAATAAATAAATAAATAAATAAATAAATAAATAAATAAAATATGAAACCCCAAACACTCTGGATGCCAAGCATTTTGGATAAGCGTATTTACGGGTATTGCATATTGGTATTATACAATGTTAATGCCTACTCTTTTTGGTTATTTCAGGATCTTTGCACGCTATAGAAAGTTTACCTCTTACGGAACATTTTCTGAAGACTACAGCCTTCATATTTTCCCTCATATCTCTGTAAATGAAAGGGACAAGGATCTGCTTTTGTATTTTTAATTGAAAGCTGCAACGCAGGCAAGGAGTCTGACGTTTCCCTGAGGGAGCAAAGCCCCCGAAGGCCTCCTGCAGCGATGGCCTGGAGCAACCCTTGTTTTTGAGCGTTTCTTTTAATGCAGGAATTCTAACAAAACCTGAGACAAACT